AAATTTGTATGCTTGGGTGAAAGAGAGAAAATGATCGGATCTTACGATGGAAACTATATATAAATATATATATATATATATATATAAAGGCAGCCATGTTATGTGCATATATGTATGTATTTGTGTGTATACTATTAAGGATACCAAATAGTGAGTTGAGGGACAAGAGGAAAATGTGTATGCTTGTGTGGAGTGAAAGTGATATCCAATCTCCTAACTTCCCTCACCTTCCTTCGTCTTCGTTGCCGCTTCAATCGGCCGTTTACAGGCCTCCTCTTCTCCCAACGCTCGAATAGTGACTTTTCTGCTCCTATTCATTTCCAATTCTTGCGCTCGTGGCCCATCGAACACACGCCACTTTAGATACACCCTCTGCAAGGGCTGATTATTAGTTATGCTCGAGTAACTGTACGCCTCGGCTCTCCTCTTTCTCGGGCTGTCCCTCGGGCGGCTGCGTGGCCTCAGCTGGAGGCGAGTCGGGCCGAAGTGACCGTGTTTTCCATGTCGTCTGGGGAGCTGGATAGGGTTGTTGGGGCGTCTGGTGGCTGAACAGCACATCTGCTCTCGTCGGGTGTTTGCAGAACAGCAAATCTGTCGGGCTCGCCTGCCCACTTTACCAAAATGCCGGCCAAAATGGCGCGAAGCCTGAACACGAAGTTGGCCACTTTTTGATGATTTAAGGAATGATGGCGGAGCTTTTCATATAATCAATTGTGCACACTTCAGCGTTAAAATACAGTTCGGTTGGTCATCTCGATTGGAACTCGCCTCTACCGAGTTGCGAAGCCAAGTTGTGCGTGTAAAGTGGCAAGACTTCACCACTTCGTAGCACAGCCATTACACACCACTCGGTCTCATGGCACATAGGACCTCTTATAAAAGCTGTATTCACCCTATTTCGTGTAAGGTGATGAACGGCTGTTAGTTGAATTCTCCCACAATCTGATGAGTAGGTCTCATGCTCCTATTTACTTTCAAACAGCCTTGATTCACAAAATGTATTCTCATCTGGGCTGGATTGGACTGCACCTAAAAACTGGCCTCGGTCTCATCAGCACCCCCTGAGACACTCGAACCTGCGTTTGGCAACATATAATCTCGGCACATTAATCACTACGCCACTCTGCCAGAGGTGCCCCTGGATCGCTGAACAGAAGTGAAGTTCAAGCAAACTT